CACATCCACCACCATCTCAGTTGTGGGCACATGCTTCACTTGAAACTTCTGTTGCTGAATTAGTTCTTTGAGTTCTTTGAGTGTCGCATGTCCACATGCTTTAGCCTTCCGCAGGTTCTCTCTTGCTTGGAAAAGGCAACATCACCAGCCTTGTCACACCACAGAGGTACGTGTTTGGGTGCACATCGCAGGTGAGACATCAGTGAAACCAGGAATTTTGCCTTCTTGGCCAGCTCGGTCAGTGCCACGAACTCAGCCTCAGTGGTACTCAAGGCAACAATTCTCTGCTTTCAGGACTTCCAGGCAATCGCTCCCCCTCCGAGCAGAATAGTGTAGCCTGTATAGGACCTTCTATCTATAGGACAGTTAGCCCAATTAGCAGCAGAGAAACCTGTTAAATCACATCCTGATTTAGTGTATGTCAAGGCATAACCTGAAAGTCCTTTAAGATATCTGCGAGAATTCCTGATTGCTCCCCAGTGCTTGTCACTATTAGCAAGCACGTATTAAATTGGCTAAGCATAGACATGGTATGCATTAAATCAGGTCTAGTGAAAGTAGCTAAATACATAAGGCGGCCAACCAAATGCTAGTAGGGCTTGTCACACTTAGCACTTTCAGCAGCAGGTGCTTTCGTCAGCTTGCACGATGGAGACAGCGGGAGAGAAGAGGCATTGCAGTCATCCAGCCCAGCTTCTTTCAGGACATCGTGGAGGTAGGCCTGTTGGTCCAAGTGAATGGTTCCTGCTTTTCGATTCCTGGTGACTCGAAGTCCAAGGGACTGGTGATCGGTCCCAAGTCCTTGCAGATGAATCTGGCAGCCAATTCCTTCTTAGCTTTCTCAGTAGCCTTGGGGCAGCTAGAAAAGATTAAAATGTCATCAACATAAACAGCAAAGATTATGACATTTTCCCCATCTGTGCGGTAAAAGATGCAAGATTCCTTTGCCATTCTCTTCATTTTCATTTGACGAAATGCCTTCAACAGTGTCAAGTACTACGCACGAGAAGCCCGTTTAAGGCCATAAATAGCCTTCCTCAGCTTATGAGTAGCTCCATCTGAAAGACGAATGTAAACCTGTTCATCAAGATTTCCATGCAAGAAAGCAGTCTTCACGTCGGCATGGCCTATCTCCCAATCATTCTTCGCAGCCAATGCAATCAAAAGACGGACTCTTGAATGTCGAATGGTGGGAGAAAAGGTTCCATGGAAATCTTCCCCTTTCACTTGACTAAAGCCTTGGGCAACCAGCCTGGCCTTCCAAAGTACTATGGCACCACTAGCATCACGTTTTAATTTGAAGACCAACGTTGTGGAGACGACACGCTCACCAGGTGGAGCTGCCTCGTCTGACCGTCCCAGGCAGAAAACTCTAGATCTTGTTAAGATATGTTTATATTTCTTGTTCCTGATCTGGAATCAGATCTGCTGCCATGCCTAACCAGATATCTGTATTATGGGCATATCTGTTGCAGATATGTGACCAACATCTGGCCAAAATGCTAAGAAATTACGGGCAGATATGCTGCCATATTCAGATTCAGATCCAGTTGTACTTCTTTCATATCTCTGCTCCTGTCTGTGTCAGATCTGTTGCCAGATACGCTTCTCTGTAAGATCTGGTGTGTATTCTGGACACAGACCTGTAGCAGGTCTGCTCCCAGTTATACGTTTTCCTGTCAGATCTGGTGACAGATCAGGTGTGTATTCTGGACACAGACCTGTTGTAAAATCTGGTCACAGATCGGTATGTTCTGGTTCGGGTTAGAGAATAATGAATGTTTCACAATTGAGAAAAATGTGTATTCAATAAGGTATATATGAACTCGAAGCTCAATTATAAAAAGCTTGATCGAAACAATTTACACATCGGAAAATTGTACAATTAAAGACAAAATTCAAACGCTTTGAATAAGTGTTAAGAACCTAAAACAATATGGAACGGGGAGTGAAAAGATTGTTCTAACATCAAACAATTATCGAAACGGACATTACAATAATCAAATTGTAGAAATAAGTAACATACTGTAATGTTAGAGACAAGTAAAGCCCTTTGTTCAGCAACGCTGACATTCTCATGAGTTGGCCTCTAGCGCCAGCTAGCCTCTCCTAGGGACCTCCGCGGGATTGTTTGAAAGCAGTGAGCGTCACAGCGCGAGCCAACAGAGCTCAGTCGGCTTGCAGTCTCGGTCGAGTCCAGTCGTGTTCGTCCGTGCCTGTATCGTTCCTGCTAGTACCAATAAATCCACTGATCCAGTACCTCCTGTGTCTCCTTTACTCAGTCACTACCTGACGCTACAATACTAAGGGATTGAGGGCCGGAAATTTTTCCGGAAAAAATATGAAATTTTTCCATATTTTTCGGAAAAATTTCCCAAGCCATATTTTTCAATGGAAAAATATATTTTGTTGTCTTTTTTTAAGTGGTTTAGGCGGTTCCTAACAGCTTCTTCTAGTTTTTGTGGTGGTACAGGCACGGATAAGACATTAAACAATACAGTGAAATATATCATTAAAAACTTTATTGGCTGAGCGATTAGCGAAGAACATAACTCCACTGACCGGAAAAGTTTCATTCTGTTTATTTGTCTGTTTGTTTGTTTGTCCGTCTGTCCGCACGATAACTCGAGAAAGAATTGAGATAGCGACCTGGGATTTTCAGGGTCGTTTTGTACCATAAAAAGACATATCGAGTTCAAAGATGAGCATTGTAGCTCAAATATTGACTTAAAAAAAAAAAAAAAAAACACAGGTCGCAAAATATTATTTTTTTCAAATATATTTTCATGGGCTCCTAAGGGGTAACTCATGTAAGTAGAATCCTTAGACTGAAAATTTCGTCCGTTTTGCTCTATCTTGTACCGTTTCGACGCTATAGCGCATTTTTTGGCGAAAACAACGTGAAAAAGACAAAATGGTCTATGAAATCGTAAAAAAGGCTTCATGTCACAGAATTGTAAAGGGAGTAATACTTCGACTACACGTTACGGGTCGAACCACACCCTCTTTTGGGCTCAAGGGTCCCTAGATTATCTACTACCACTAAAACGTTTAATTTTACATAACAATCTGACAAAATTCAATTTTTAATGAAAACCGTTACCGAACAGTAGAAGTTCCATGTCCCTAATTTTAGAGTAAGAAGACCCCGACAAATGTTTCGAGTATGTCAAATTTTGGGCCCGGAAGACCCTGTTCCCCTATACCCTCTCCTTAACTCGTCTCGGGTATCAGCGCCGCAGGCCTAGCTATATGTGCGCCAGGCGCGTCGCAGCGTAACAGTGTTTCGTGAGATATCGCGAAGCCTGTTACGCAAGACGTGGTCTGGCGTACATATAGCTAGTTTTATTGATGTTTTTGTTTTTTGCATAATCAGTCTTATGTTTACGTTCACAAAGTATTTTCGTTTCCTTACATAAATTAAATGCACTATATTTATTTTGTACATAATGTTATAGTCTATTATATTATTCACAGTCTATCTTTGGCATAAATAAGTTATGCTGTGCCCTTTACCAAGTCACAAACTTATTTCTGTAAAAAAACTAAAGGAACATCATCCTCAAAATCAGATTCCTCCGAGTCTGAAACTGAATACTCAGATGATATATTTTGGTCTGATTCATTTTCAGAAGCAATTTCTTCTGAGTCGGATTCATTGTCAAAGGTGTATGTTTCTTCTTTACCCTTTTTCTTCTTAATAAAGTTAGGAGTAAACTTCATATTACTCTTGATTGCTACTTGTTTTTCTACCCTCTCATTGACCTGCCTATTCCTAGTTTTAGTATGAACATTGGTAAATACTGACCAATTCCGTTCTGAGGGAGCAGATGACGATGGCACATTAAAAAGTCTCTAAGCTAATGGAAATAGCGGTTGGTCTGCGCAGAAAGCAGCCCACCATGTTGCTGGAGGGACTTCGTTTGCAGCTATCCATATATTTTTGTCACCAAAATATGCAGAGCTTGTTCGAAAGTCAGCAAGATTACCCAGGACTTTAGGTTTGTCTAGACCTAAATGCTCACACTGGTCACTAATGAAGTGTAAAGCAGATTGCTTTTCAATATTATCTAAATCCATCCCGTTCCTACGAGGATCTAATAGATTTGCTGCAAGGTGAGCGTCAGAAGTTACAGGGTAGAGTCTTTTAACAACTGTATCTGAAGTGATTTTTTTTCTTCATCCGATAAAAACGTAGAGTTAGATAGAGCTACAGCAATCTTCTTACTTATTTTTTTGTTTAAATGAGGTACTACAGAAAGGACTGTCTTATCACCCTCTACTATTTTGATGGCATTACCTACAAGAAGTAATATTTGGTAAATTTCATTTAGGAATTTCCAGAAACCATCATCAAAAAGATATTTTTTCACATCACTATCAACACCTGCTTTTCATCGATGGCAGTACTTTGAAGAGCAGCTTTGTTTGCTCTCAAGGACTTCAAAGACAGAACAGAATAACACCATCTGGTCTTAGGTAGTAACTTAAGAGCAACAGCTTTCACACCATACTTCTCTTTTGGATTTCTTTGAAAAGAGCATTTATAACATGATGAACTTGAAATTCTTTGACAATTGCCCTTACTTTTTTCTTAAAATG